TCACGACAGCACATTCTCCGGACAAAAGTGAAGCACTCGCACTCTTACAGGTAAGCAACATACGTTCCCGGCGTTCCCTGCCACGTAAGCAACGCTTCTTTCGGAAGCTGGAGATGTGGTTACCAATTAAGTGGAGCCAGCACAAGACGGCGAGGGCGATCGAGACACGCCCTTATCCTTGACTTAGCAGGCACGCGAAGACGCTAGAAGGTCCAAGTTCTCTTCTCTTCTCAGAACATTGTGTGGTGTTGGGCCAATGTAGCCCGCCAGAGAGCGAGTGCGATGGGCAGCTTATCAAGAGCACGACACCCCGAAGCTGCCCCTCGAGGCCCGGCGTCCGCCACTCGCTGTTGAGACAGGCGGACGCTCCAACCGCACCACCGGAGCGGCTCCCCGCGTGCCGTTTGGAGTCACACCGTGCCATGTCATACGTGATTTTCATTTGCGTGTCATGTCATGAGCCATGTCATGCGCAGTCGATTGCGCATAAGGGATCTGCCAGAGATGTTACGACTAGAAACTCGAAAAGAACGTCAAAATCACCGTTCCACAGAACAATTTTAAAGCCAAAAAGCAGTTGTTATTCGATTCGGTTCAAACTCGCGCAAGTGGCTTAAAGTCAATGGAATTATTTGTGATCCTAATTTGCATTGTCCCGTTCTTTGGGAAGCTATCTCAACCTCATGCGACTGTTTTTAACATTGGCTGTCGCATTAACCGGCCTAACGAAGCTTGCCTTAGGATTGCTTTTGTCAACAGACATGGCCTGACTTTCACCCGCCATAGGTCAGTGACCCTAAATCAGATTTCACTTATTTAACTAGGTCGTTAGTGTTCTGCTAGGTCCTCCCCCCCGCCCCCTTCTCCAAGCGGTATAAACAACTTAACTAGGTTAAAGGAAGGTTTCGTTTGCTTGTTTTGCTTCTCGACACTTGTTTTGACTACATAGTTTTACTAAAGGATTGAGACGACAAATTACTAATACGCATTGATTTCCTACCAGTTTCTTCCGTTGGTCAGTGGCCCTGACAAGAAGAATCTGGTTCGAGACCCTGCAATGTCAATGAGGCGCATGGGTTGTGGGTTGTGACGCATGCATGGCTGACAGACGGGCATTATCCAGTCCTTCTCAGGATTTTATCATACCTGATGACAGCCAGAGAGTTAACTGGCCGAAACGTTGTGTGCAAACTAACGCACCAGATGAGAATGCTAGTCAAAACAATGATTCCATCCGCGTTTTTGTTTTAGGCTTTTTCTAGACGTGAAAGCCTTTAAGCGCACATTTAGTCGTAAAACGTTACACGCGCGCGACAAAAACACGAATGCCTTCGCCGGCTAAATATGCGTTTTGTCTCAAAATTTTCGCCGATAATAATAAGTGTTTTGTCATGATTGACATGACATGCGTGTGTTCGTATCTGCATAGTTCCAGTTAGCGGAGGCGAATTTAAGCTGGCAAAAACAGCGATTTAGGATTGGAAAATCGGTGCAATTCGGTTTCCAAAAACGGCTGCATCAGCGACCCTGACACAAAGACTGGTGTCTGTTGACATAGGTGTCTTTGACATATTTTGCTAGCAAATTACTGATAAGCTTTGCATGGCTCAGCCATGTTGTGCTGCATATAGGATGTTCATTGCAGGAATGACTCAGATGCCTAGCACATGCAGGGCGAGCATACCATCATGCCGCAACATGACAGCCCAAATGCTCTCCCCTTGCTGGAGTGTGTAGAAAAAATTGTTTTCTCATACAAATCCTGGGTGATAAATTAAAATCTTCATTGATTTAAGTATACTAGGGCTTATATATACACACACACACACATATATATATATATATATATATATATATATATATATATATATATATAAGGGCTTAGCAGCAAAAGTAATGCAAGTAATAGGTTAACCACTAATTGACTAAGGAAAGGTCAGATCATCTAAGTTTTGATGTTTTCTCATTTTGATACCAATATGCAATGGCTTAAGTGAAGTTAAAGGCATTTTAAAACAAGCCTGATGTGTAATGTGCATGCAATAACTTCATTAAATGTATTCCAGTGCTGTAAAATATTATTTTAAAAAATAACTGATGTGATGCTTTCTTAACTGCTTAATATATTTGCCAATTTGTGTTATCATGCATCCGTCATTTGATCATTTCCCCAAATGAGTTCAATGCAAGCTTTCCTTGATATCTTATTGCCTTACACAGCAATGCCTAGATGCATAGCAATACTCATTTGACAGGTTAGCTAACTGATATCATTTCAGGTAGCATCAAACCTGGCATTACTAAATATGTCATGTATACCAGGGAAAACAATGAGCCAATTAGAAACAAAGCTGCTGAGATGTATGTATGGTTAGTGATAGCATGGCAATCAAGCTTAGCATGCATTAAGTGCACAATGAATTGAGCAGCCTGGAGATCTTTGGGGCTAATGGGTCTGCTGGATCTTGCCTAATGTCAACAAACCTTTTGAGTATTATACATATCTGACAAGACTCCCTGTCACACAACTGAGGCACCCACCACTTGATCTTGTACTTGCTTCTGATGCAGACAACTCAATTCTGACAACTCAAGCCAGATGAAGCTCATTCTGTCTTGCAGTGAATGTTATAGAATATATCAATGCATTAATAGGTGGAAAATGTGCTCAGAATTGAGGTTTAAGACTGTTGTGGGCAGGGGTATGTACTGAGAACATGGTTGGGATGGTTATCTGACACATGTTTTGCTTGTAACATGCTGAAAAGTGATAAATTTTGCAGATGTTTTTACATTTATCAGCTGTTGATAGCTTATCTGGACCCAGACTTGATCACTGGGTCAATGTAAACCCAGCTCAGAGTCAAGCACAAGTGTGTCATTTGGGCCTTATGATGCACTCAGCTGCTGAGACTACATGGCTTTGTTTGCCTGGCACTCTGGCGGGAAGTATGAGCACGGCAGTCATGCAAAAGTCTTCCACCAGCACGCACCTGATTCCTCGGTTGGTATTTGCTCGCTTGATATCAGCCTGCGGATATCGACCTTTTCACTTCAAGTCCGGACACCAACAACCAGGCCGTATTTACAAAGTGTAACTGCCATCATGCCACGCCACACAGGTAACTTGGCGTCCAACGCGGCCCGAGCGCACAAAACCTATTTACACCACACAAGACCTAAACAACGCCCCCCTGGGGACCGGCTCACTTCCAGCAGACAACAGTCCATGTCGAGCGCGGTCTTTTCGTTTGACTTTACCGCGTCAGATTTGTCAATCACAAACCTTGGGGTCAATACAGCTAAAGCGTAAGGTATGCATAAATACCGAATCAGAAAAGTGATATGAGCAAAATTTAGGAGCTTTGAGCTGAATTTGACTAAAGTAAGTGCAACGTATTAATTTCTTACATTGCTCTATCGATGGATGACAAATGTGCAAAAAATCATTGATCACGCTGCTGCGCCACGCTTCCAGTGCCTGCGTCGCCGGCAGCAGCGGCCAGGCAGCGCTGCGTTGTGAAGTCCCAGTCACCTAATGACCCTTACCAAGTTTCAACCTACAGCTGTGCGTGCGTGCGTGCGTGCGTGCGTGTGTGCGAAGGCGCGCGCGCGCGCGTGTATGTATTAACGATCGACGCAACAGAAAGCACGAGTCAGCTTGAGTCATAGCCCACAAATACACGGGCCTCTGTCAGACATGTTAATTGAACCGAGGCGCATCGGTCGGCCAGATGTCCCCTTCCTTGGAGCACAGACACATGGCTACGGCGCTGGCTCTGATCCCCCAGTGTCGGACCAAAGCATTGCTGCCAGCCGAGCTCGGCCTTCTGCAGGACGGCCACAAGGTACGCGATTTGACGGTTTCAAGCGCAGACATCGCGCCTTTTCAGTTTAAACATGACTCTAAATCATCCCTCCCCCTCCCCCCGGCATGGCCGTAAGCATGTTATTTGCGTGGCCAGCTACGCATTGGCCGTCATTGTTTCCTGTCCCTGTCTGCCCGAGACGTGTTGTTCCTGCCCGGTCCAGGCCGAGAGGCCGCCTGACCACCCCGTGCCACGGCCGGCCGGCCAGAGCGCAGAGTCGAGGTCGTCTGGACCAGCCGGACACCGTGCCGTCCTCCTCCGACCCTGGGCCGAGCCAGACTGCCGCCTCGGAGCCCGGGTCGGCCGATTGTTACCGCAGGCTTACCGATCAATTGCGCTCAGCGTCCGCAACGTTATTTAACCTGCACGAAATCGGGTTATCCTGCAAACCAGAGAAGTGTTTAACTAAATGCGAGATGTCCGCCAAGGTTCCCGCATCAGTCATCGAGACAGCATACAGCCGTCGCACACAACACATCACCATGACTACACACCGCTCTCTCATCACCATCGCACGTCACGAAATTATCATCGCTGAGGGCTTCGTGCTGACGTCACAGCTTCCAGCAGCGCCCCGTTGAAATCACGTGGGTCTATCGTGTAAGCAGCACCAGTGCTCCGCCTGCCCACAAAGGGACAGGTTCGAAATCTGGGCCAATATCATGGGACGGCCGCCAAATATGCATATCACGACCCCATTGGGGCGCTGGAGTTTCGAAGTCCCGGATCTAGACGGCTGACCGGCAGCCAACAACTGTGACCTGAAAATAGCGTGCTGCGTCCAAAAGTTGAGCAGCAGTTTCGACTCCCTGGGGCAAAAATATCAAGCTCACACATCCGTGAGAGCCAAAGATAGGAGCTTGTGTCCCATAGCCAGTGGATTCCTCTTAATATCCCCTGATTACAGCAACTCTGCCTTACCGGAAGCATAATTTATCGCCAAAACACTACATTGACGACGTATACATATATGCATCGTACGTCCGAACTGTCATTCCATTCCTTTGCATTTCACAAAGCAATGCGACCATCCTTTGAAACAATGTATTGCGTGATCTCGCACCCACGGAAATTTCGTAGATTGGCCTAGATCCAATAGTGGTAATGTAACAAACTCACGTTTGACGTCCTTCACACTGACAGGCAGTCCAGGGTGGGCGGGCGGACGTAATGGCCATATCATACCAGTCGACCATTGAAAAGAAGGCAAGCGGTGGGGTCGGCGTTAATGCCGCGCTGATAACGCTATAAAAGACTTATTGTTTCCACAAGATTACATCAAAGAATCGAATCTGAGCAGCATGTCTTGCAACAGACATCGTTATATAATGGGGCGCGACACACAAGACGTCCGGAGGTGTCCATTTCTCAACATAATCTGCCGTCCCACGAGTCCCAAAACAGGCAACGAGCCGGCCCGTTGTTCCGTCCGTTAGCGGCGTGAGCGGGGCCGCCTCGGTGAGCACGGTGGGCGTATGGCCAGCAGACCGCCCCCGCCGGTGCCCTCAGCTGACCGACACGTCGGGCGCCAGCGCGGCCGCCTGTCCGCCCTCAGCCGGGTCGGTGCGGCTCGCGGCGGCGGTGCCGTCGCCCGCGCCGGCCGCGCCCGACGCTCCGCTCGCCGCGCCTCCCCCGCACCGAGCGCCGCCCTGCCCGGCGGCCGCCCGCCCGCCAGGCTCCGACGCGCACGACGCACCGCCAGTCGGCGCCGTGGTCCGCTCCTCCTGCGGCGCCGCTCCGTTCACATGCGCGTGCTCGCCGTTCGCGGCGGCGGCGGCGGCGCGGGCGCCCCCCGGTCCAGGAGGTGCGCCGGTCGCGTCCGCCGTCGCGTCATCCTCAGGTCGACGGTCTGAGGGCGGCGCGGGCAGCCCGTCGACCGGGAACGTCCCAGCACACCCGGCGGCGCTCGCCGGGGTCGCCGGCCCTCCACCGATGCCCAGGGAGGCGACGCAGGTCAGCGCCGCGCCCTGCTCGGCGAACTTCTTGTTTTTCTCCCTGCGGGATGGCGGAGGCAGTCAGCAGGGCGGTGGCCAGCAGGGGGGTGGTTTTCAGCACGGAGCTAGGAAGGCCGGGCGGTATGACGGATCAGTGGTAACACTGTCTAAGTCAGGGAGCGGATACGGGCACAGTTCAGAGAAAGCACAATTGCAATCGCATCACAGCACGTCACATCAAACCACATCACACAAACACAATCCCTAAAAATCGCCGTTCTCTTTGGATCAGTCATATCTGCGTTGCGCTTTCCAAACCGGGAATAGTCTGGGGCGTACAGGAGCTGCTGGCTGCAGCCACAGGTGTCAGTCTCTTCGAACGTGGCCGAAAAAGCCCATGGCGAAGAGTACCGCGGCAACAAAACCGCTAGTGATGACACGCCGCCCCGCCAGACGAGGATAGCAGTATTCCCGGTCGAAATTATGAAACCAGTTCAGATTTGGCATAGATAAATTCCCGAAAGAAATGGGGTCAACAAATAGTAGCAGTCCAGTTGTCAACTCCCGTTACAGGGCTCGATAAATGGCGGGCCATAACTGCACGCGACCTTGGAGGCGCGATAGCCGAAACCTGCCGCGTCCTTTTTTACTGGAATTTGTCAGTTCAATCAAACATTTGCGCTCTGCTTGGGATTACATCTAGCACGCCATGATACCAAAGCCAGCATTGTTGCACAGTGGAGCGATTAAAAGCAGTACAACAGTTGCAAATCAGATGGAGTATTTCACTTTGATCGCCACCCCGAAATTCATTTAAGTAGGGCTTGCACGCCTCGAAAATTGTTAACATTACTCTTGGCGTGGAAACGACATGACGCTCATCCTATCTTTAATGAAGTCCGTGGACTCACTGGTCATGATCTGACTCACAACGTAATTGGCAAGATGCTATTAACTATGCAAAACTGAATCGCAGTCCTGCGCCCACTGACCATTGTTTTTGCGCCTCCCGGTTCAGTTATTCCAATCTGCCTGTAGTCTATCACAGCTCAAAAAAAAACATAGCATGCTTCGACAGCACGAAACCAATATTCAAGGCGATTTGTTTAACACAGAAAAGTCATTGTTAACTTTCGGCCCTTTTGTTGAATTCTATTGGATGTTCCCGATGGCAAAGTTATTCGGGCTATTGTGCTCGTGCGGTGTGTTGGGATATACTCAACGTGTACAAGTGTACACAACGCTTTGACCAGTTGATTCTCCGGCGGTGGTCAAGTGTAACAAGGGCCTCATAACAACCGGGTGACCTTCTCAACACCTAACGACGACCGGATAATTAACTGGTCGATACGTTCTATGCATAACAACGCGCCACACGAGGGCACCAGTTCGAACACTCGGTTCACCGCATTACCAATGCGTCGCCTCAACCCCCCGTGAAGCTCCACCGGGTACATTTACTACGCCCGTGTCGGGCCCGTCGGCGAGTTCGCTCGTCACAGATGTGCATCGGCATCAACCGGCGCCACGCCGTGCAAACAGCTTGCGTAACGCGGCGCGCGGTGGAGGTGGGATTAGTGGGGTGGATGGCGCCCGGAAATTATCGGCCAGATCACGGCCGGCGCCGCTCTCGTTTGTGCTAACTGCGCAGTTGTGTCTGAACGGGCGCTACTCCCGCCGTCTGATCCAATGTTTCCCAACGCGTTTGGGTTCATTTTCCCGGATAATGGAGAGAATTGCGATGCCCCCTCCCCCCTCCCCCCCCCCCCCCCCCCCGGTACCACCCACCAGAGCAAGTCGTATTGTAAACACCGCTGAACAGACCAGGACGTGCTGCCGTCACTACTCACCGGGGTGGATGTAATGCCGGCACCACTCCTCAGAGCGGGGCAGGCCGCCGTCACCGCTCACCGGGGTGGATGTAATGCCGGCACCACTCCTCAGAGCGGGGCAGGCCGCCGTCACCGCTCACCGGGGTGGATGTAATGCCGGCACCACTCCTCAGAGCGGGGTATGCCGCCGTCACCGCCCACCGGGGTGGATGTAATGCCGGCACCACTACTCAGAGCGGGGTATGCCGCCGTCACCGCCCACCGGGGCGGATGTAATGCCGGCACCACTCCTCAGAGCGGGGCAGGCCGCCGTCACCGCTCACCGGGGTGGATGTAATGCCGGCACCACTCCTCAGAGCGGGGTATGCCGCCGTCACCGCTCACCGGGCTGGATGTAATGCCGGCACCACTCCTCAGAGCGGGGTATGCCGCCGTCACCGCCCACCGGGGTGGATGTAATGCCGGCACCACTCCTCAGAGCGGGGCAGGCCGCCGTCACCGCTCACCGGGGTGGATGTAATGCCGGCACCACTCTTCAGAGCGGGGCAGGCCGCCGTCACCGCTCGCCGGGGGGGGGGGGGGGGGGTGAGGGCGGGGCAGGCCGTCGTCACCGCTCACCGGGGTGGATGTAATGCCGGCACCACTCCTCAGAGCGAGGCGGGTCGCCCCACAGCCACTCACAACCACTCACCAGAGCGACGCGTACCGCTGGCCGCGCACGGTGACCACAGCCCGGAACAGCTTGTCGGAGAAGTCGAGCCGGTAGGCCGGTACCGGTTCGCCGTGTCGGCTACACCAGGCGTGCAGCAGCGTCTTCGGCAGCCCCTCCGGCTACGGCGGCGGCACGGTCAGTCAGCAGCCATGCAACAGCACGACAGCACGTGCATTGTACACGGCAGGCATTCGCAAAATTAGCCATGACCCTTTTCAGCACAATAAACAATCGCCGAACCCGAACAAGACCTTAACAACGACGAAGTGAGCAAAGTCAATTGGCAGAGCACATGAACGCCTAAATGGCAACGTAAAGCTAATGCGTGCATACCAATATCAACACACTGATGCATGTTATGACGACAGCGTCTACCGGCACAAAACCATGCCCTCGGGCGCTACATCACCGTACACCAGTCAGCCCAGCGGGGGCGGGCGGCGGCGGCCTGGCTGACCTTGTAGTGTCCGCGCACGAAGGGCCGGTGACCGGGGGTGACACCGTCCTCTAGCCGCGGCCGCTTGGAGAGCGGCCGGCTGTCGGGGCTGGCCGGCGGGCCCAACGCCGCCCGGCACGCGCCGCCCAGGCCCCAGATGTCGCTGTACGGCGCACGGATGGAGGTCAGGGGGCAGGGTCAAGGGTGGCCGGGTCGTGGGGCGCGCCACACCCCGCGTCCCCGTGGCGCGGCACGGTGCGGCCGCTGGATACAAACAGGTGGCCGCAGCTGTGGTGCGTGGAGCGACGCGAGAACAGAAGACCGTTCCAACCCCAACCACAGTGGCGTCTGCAGCAAAACACACAGGAAGATGCACTGGCCCGTTTGTTTCATCCGTCTAGCTTTCGCTGCTACTGGCCTGTTCGTTTTCCCCACTCGGCCTTCACTACTGATCACACATCAAGGCGAAACATTTTGTTCGCGGTCGGACAGAAAACAATGCCAGTCTGTTGTCGCGCAGCAGGAGAGAATACGGGGGACCCGAGCTCAGGAGAAGCCGCCCTCAGTGCACAACGTCCCTGGCTCGGCCCTAAGTCACGGTAACGGGTGCAGACAACCGGCCGCTGATCGTGACTTGGATGCACACTGCAGACGTCAACGCACCATATCTCCTCGAGCGTCTGCGCAGCCAGGAAGCGCTTGCCGCGCGGCGTCTCCTGCAGCTCCCGCAGCATCTGCTGCACCGTGTACTTGGCCTGTGTGAATGGGTGGTCGTACCTGACGGACACAGACACGTGGTGAGCAGGGGCTCTTACTAGGCGGACACAGACATGTCGTAAAAGTGAGTGATCGTCTTCCAGAGCCTTACAAAGTTTGCCACAGCCAACGCCCAGTACACCAACTACTTCAGAAGCCACCTCCCAGATGGGGTACCGCCATCCTTACATGGCCTGAAAGAGCTGCAGCTGCTGAGTGCAGACCCGACCGAGCCGACACCGAACCGCGGCCGTCGCGTCACGCCCCAGCTGACCTGACACACAGCTGGAGCAGGCGGGTGATGACCTCGTCCAGGGGCAGCGGGCCATCGGGCCGGAACACGGACAGGTTCCACATGGCGGCGCGCGCCAACATGACGCTGGAGGCGCCGCACCGCTGCCGGAACTGCTCCGCGTCCGCCCGGCACTGCACGCGCCGCGATCCGCCGCTGCCAACGCCGGGTCCGCTCAGTGGGCAGGAGGGTAAGGGTACGACGCGGCAGGCTCGGGCGCAGTCCGTGCACAATGTCGGACAATGAATTCGTAGTGTTATTCTAATATGTTATACTATCTAATCGAAAACCTACAACTAAAACTACTGAAACCAATCTTCGTGTCACAATCATCATACCATACCAACTAAGTTGCAATGCTAGGTGTCATATTATAACAACTTATATCTTGTAATCAACTAGTAAAAGTGCACAAACTTCGTTCGCGCCCAGTAACACCCTGTCATGTCAGTGGGGCTTTACGACGCACTCAGCTGCTGAGGCCATATGGCGTCGCCTGCCTCTCACCCTGGCAGGAAGGGCGGGCACCGCGGGGAATGGAACCCCTTACCTCTGGTTCCCCAGGCGCGCATCGGTTAACGCAGACGTATTAACCAGTACACTACCGGCACCCCGCCCGGTGACACCTCTGCCAGGGGGTATTATGGTGCGGGACATGGTTCGATGGTGCGGGGTCCAACAAACTTGGTCAGCCGGCGACAAGCCTGGCGGCAAACCCTCCGTCACCCCCGCCTCAGCGCGGTGGTGACCACCACAGCCCCGCCCCACTCACTTGGCGACGACCGGTATGCGGAGCGCCTCGGCCACGCGTCGGATGGCGTCTTCGTGCACGGGGTGGCGGGGCCGCTCGTGGCGCGTGCGGCCGTGCACGGAGAGCGCCGCCACGCCGCACGACTCCACCATCCGGCAGAACTGCAGCGTCCGCTCGTCCGACGACAGCAGCCGGATCTTGCCTGCGCCCGGCGGACGGTCACGCCGGGTCCAGGCGGGGTCAACGGATCTGGTCTGGCACTGGCACACCCACGGCAGATACACGGATCGGGCATGTGCTGTCACAATGGGCCCGACTTGGATGCTAGGCTTCAAAGTGCGGTGGCTGAATACTGCGCCCATGAAGTAAATGTAAGGGCGTGGGCGTGAGGCTGGCAGTGGCGGTTTTCGCCTTACCTGTCGCCACTGGGCAGCTACCTCTTATGCATCATCAAATCATTGAAAGGCAAGAAGCAGCCCCACTGGACTGAATAGTAGTTTTGGGATGATAAACATGAGAGAACTGCATCCCCTTCTGGTAGCATTTTTTGCATTTTGGGCAGTATTTTTGCATTTAACTGTTGATGTAGCAGCCTTGCCTTCAATTGGTCTCACCTTAGATGCAGGTAAAGGCTCATAACACATGAGCATGTGATGCATCCTCTTAATTTAGCATCACCAAAAATGACAAAAAATGCACAGGTCTTCACTAAACATCATCTGAGTCTCAGCAGCTTGACTCAAAATTTGCTTGCATTCCCCCAAAAAGAGAAAGATACTTAGGGTCACACATATTTACAGACAATGGTGTGGAGTCTTGAGTGATCATATGAGCCATCCTTGTGTTTTTTAATGCTGGTCTGCACTCTTTCACCAATATTCCCATCAGGTTTGACAAACCTGATGATGAGATGCCAGCTAGTGGATCACATAACCTTGCATGTCAATGGTTTACCTGCATGAGTATCCACATCATTAAAGTTGACATAATATGAATGGAAGATGCATGCAAGACAAATTTTATTGCTAGCATAGAAGAAAAAAATTAAATCATTTTTATTTTCAGATTAGTACACAGATAAGATACTTACATGTCACAGGGATGTTGGCCCCCTTGACAAGAGTTGTTAAGATACTCTTCACTTTCTCTGGCTGTTGAAGCAGTGCTGCCCCCATTCCTCCCTTAATTGAAAACTCCTTTGGACAGCCCATGTTGATGTCTATGCCAGCAATATCTTGCTCACTGAAAAAGCAGGACAAAATATGTGGTTTCTATCTTGAAAAGTTAGGTAAATATAGGCATGGCTTTTCACATTTGTATACAATATTTGGATACCTCTGTGTAAAACAATCAAAGTAAAGAATGAAAGAGCAGGTTACATTCACACTTTTCATCAATGGAAACAAATGGATGACTGCTATTGCTAGTATTCCCTGCCTCAGCGGTTACTTATATTACACACAATTTTTGCATGTGCTGAAGCAAAATTAAACAACCATATCATTCATTGTTAAAACCTCTATCAGCATGTGAGATTAAGTGAGCAGCATTTTCTATCCTAATAAAAGCACCCAAGGCATTCCAAAACCACCAAAGGAAACCTACTATTTTTGGGCAACCTTCAGTGCACGATCAGGATCACAGGTGCCCATCTGAAGTATGACATGATCCTTTTCTTCCACACAAGTGCGTAATGTAACAGTACCGTCTGCTGGGTCCACATAGTCCACAGTTCCAAGTTTATCTGGGGGAAGAAACAGGCTTTCAATGGGCAATTATATCATATGTTCAAGCAAATATTCCCATCACAGAAAACAGAGTGGCATATCTCACTAAACAATCCTGAACTCATTTTTAGCAAAAACAAGCAAAGAACCACTATAGTAAAATGGCGCATTTCATTTATAGCTCGGACAGTGTAGCCACATCATTTCCCTTTTCAAACTGTCATCACATATGCTGACAGCAAAACAAAATTCATGAACTCACCATTCCACTGTCGAACAGATGAAAGAAGCTTCCAGTCCACCAACTCCTCAGTAAATACAATGTCAGCCCCATATTGCAAGGCCAGCAGGCGAACAGGTAAAGTAGACACCCGCACCATTGGTGCCAATATCATTTTATTGCTATAATCCATTTCAGCGAACCTAAAAACAGCACGGCCTCAAGTTATATTGCCCGACTGCCGAGGGGCCCAAAACCCCGAGTGAGGCTGACCTCTGATCTCGATATCTGTCTAATCCATAACATGTGACCAAAAGACATTAAAAACGTCAACACCGCACGGCCGAAGCTGCCATGGACTGTAATGGAACGAGCGGTGAGCACCAAAGCGACATATGCCGCAAGCACAACCTGTAGCAAATGCACGCTTGAACGAAGCAGATGCGCACAGATTGCAACCTATCTGAGCTTCCAGATACAGCAGGAATAAAATAAAAGTGCCCTCTGAGTGAATTTGGAGAGGGGCGTTGACAAAGGGACGTTGGGCCCAGCACCATTGACATAGGCAAGGCCCAATAGCGCAGGCAGAGGGGGGGGGGGGGGAGGTTAAGGGCGCACGTACCCTTCTTAGGTTCCGAGGGACCCAAAGGGACACTCGAGATCTACAATTAAGGGACCAATTTGAGGGGCCGAAGGTCCCGAAAGGCCGGCCGGTGGTCGTATTCAGGGGCCCAGCCCGCAGGGCCGGGCACTCCAATGCCAGACGGAGGGCACTGCGCGCTGGTCAGGGGCCCTTAAGTCGATAAGGGCTTAAACGTCGGTCAGACATCATCAGTAACGCCCAGTCGGCTCCGTGGCGCCATGTGCCTCATGGTCCATTTCCCAAGCAGGGGCCAAGCTGGAACCAGTGAGCTACTTTGGTCGGGGCCCCGCAGTGCCTAACGGTGGCCTGCGCTGGCAAGGGGTCTCAGGTCGGCCGGAGGCAGTGTTCAAGGAGGCCCGAAGAGCCCGGAGGGCACACCGGGTCCGACGATCTAAGGCTCGATTGGAGGGTCTAAGGGCACGAAGGGCTGCTCGGAGCCCCACTCAGGGGGTCCTGGCCGGCGGGGACGGACCCTCACATGACAGTCAGGGGATCCCTTGCACCGATCGGGGATCACCTATGTCGATATGGGCCTTTATGTCGGTCAGGTAACACCAGTAACGCACGGCCGGATTTGTGTCGACACAGGCCCGAGGGCCCACTTTTCTATCAGCTATAAAGCCAGGGCCAGTGATTTATTACACTGGCCGGGGTTACTGTGTTTGTTAGGGGCATACAGCACCTAACAGAGGGTCCTGTGCTGGCAAAGAGCCCCAAGATGACAAAGGGTAGTGTTCGAAGAGGCCCGAAGAGGGGCCCGGGCGGTCCAACGGGATCGACTTTTAAATCCCTGGCTGGAGGGCATGAGGGCTCGGGGGTCTGGCTGTAGGTCACATAAAGAATAGGGTCGTAGGGTCGTGACTTGAAATATCATCCAGAAGTCCTCTTGCATCATTTAACGAACCCCTGAGACAATGCGGGTGTCCCAGTCGGACAGAGACCATAAACACCGAACAGTCGGCACCCTGTCAGTCTGAATCCTGGGAGCTCGTTTCCCCAGCAGGAGCAAGACCGGGGGGTCACGATTTGCACTGGTCTGGGTTCCTGAAAAAGTGGCTGGGCTCTTGTGTCGGTCAGGGGTCCACAGGTCATAACAGGGAAATCACGTTTCGGCTAGTGGCCTCTAGTCGGTCACTGCCTTCGTTTGAGGGGGTTCGAAGAGAGACCGGAGCGCCCCCGGGATCAAAGATCAAGGACCCGACTGGAACCGGGTCCGGACCCCATCCGTAGTGCTGTGGCATGAAATGTCAGCCGGAGGGCTTTTATGGGGGGAGGGATGTTATGAAGGGTCGCTATCCCTATTATGCAGGGCCCCGACGCCAGGGGTCCACAGTACCGAACGGTGGGCCTTTCAACCCAATTGCAGCGTGGATCCAGTATGCCAAACGGGGGTCTGTGTGCCAAGCATTTCACCACCCGCGGTGAGCACGAATGTTGCTGCGTTAATGACGGTTCATGCATCGATCCGGGGTCAGCTGTGAGGACCAGAAGGCCTTTCACCTCAGAGAGAGGACCAATATGATATGATGTCGTAGCGGCACGAGGTCAACACTTGGTCGTGTGGGTCACCAATAGGTGGCGCCAACGGGTGTTGTTATTGTGTGTGCGGCATTGTGCGTCGGGCGAAAAAGGTGTGCGTCCCCACAGCTTCGCTGTTCTGTTAATATTAGGTGTATAGGTGTATATTAGTGATATGCCTACCACAGAACGGTTGACAGTATGACCATTGTTTGGCCGCTATTGGCATATTGACTGCCGGAACTGGGCAGGTGTTTGCTGCTGTCAAGTGCGGTGGTCGAACCGAGCCGTATCGCTAATATATACATCCGTCCCTCTTATCCTCTATCTTGCGTCATCCTGCATCCTCGCAACACCCCGCTTGTCCGGGGCAGGCTGCATGCGTCAGCCACGAGTGGGCCGAGAGCCCCGTGGGAAGGGGGACCCCGGCCGGGCACACGCACATGCGCGGGTTAAAGCTCGGCGGTTGCCCATCCCCCCTTCCCCCAAGTGCATGCACGTCTGTCCCATCGTCAACCATTTTCTTTCATCCCATAGCCCTGAAATGATCATGTCTGGTAGAAAGGGTCCTAATCCAAAACCCACCATATCGATAATATACTTTTGTGCAACCTGACTGCGCAGTGTTCTCTGCTCTTCGTGATCCGTCCCTCTCTGGACGCGTTTCCCTGTCTGTCAGTCCGGGCCGGCATCACCTCGATGCCGGCACCGAAGTTTCAAACCGGACAGCACGACCAATGTAGAAGTGCTAGTCCCGGCCACTCGGCCGCAACCAGCCGGTTGACAGCCGAGTCCTGAGGTGCGGGTGATTACGCTGGTGTCGCACCGCACGGGGGCTCGGGTTGTTGTACTGAAGAAAACAAAGGGCAACTACTGCCACCTTTTCTTTTTCGTCGCGCAAGACAGTGACGTGCGTGACATTGTATCCCTCTATGGCCTCTAGATCGGCTAGGGGATTCCGACCAGTGTCGCCAGAATAGCAGCCGGAGGACACCTTACGGTGGGACGGAATGACCCTCCAGCTCTTGACCGGGAACAATTCCCCTAGTGTCCTACTTAAGGGAACCCCTTCCCCGGAAAGAGATTAGGGGTCTCATCAGTGTTGAAAAGAGTGGGTTGAGATGAGTTCCAACACGACCAAGGCCATTCCATGTTTGCCTGAGAACGTCTATTCACTTTTGCGGAATTGACCAGTGAAACAAAGTATCAAAAGGCTTGAGCCTGCGCGGTCACAACGTCGGAAGCTGGGACAGCGATGGCCTGGGTTGCAGTTTCCGTAAAACCGAACGACGTTGGCCGATGCGAGCACCGCCAGGCGGGGCGGGTGCCGCGCCAGCGAGAGCGACCGTCGTGGGATGATGCTTCCGAATGCCTTAAAAAGATGAGTTTTGCCACTCGAAGATTAGGCTGCGCGTATCTTTTTTGCGGCTTTGAGGTTCTCCGCTGGACAGATTAACAGTAATAGAGACACAACAAAATAGATATTCTGTATTTACTCCTTTAGTTCCACCATCTCGTTCAATTATTAAATAGGTTACTATTAAATAGGTTAGGTAAACGGATAGGCTACTATGCGTATAATATTCAAATGGGTCATCATTTTCGTTCACCCGTTGGCCACGGCTTAGTGTTAACCATGAAGCCGACGCTGCGCTGATAACGGAGACTGCAACGCCTGACATCGAGGATTTTGTTGCTAAGATTTGCGAACGCGCATTCTAAATACTGCGTTACCTAATCTGTATCACTCATCAATTCTGATTGAATGTGAGCATTTTCTGATAAACACGGGTTGGCCATGTTGATACAAATTGTTGACCCATTCCGATCTATATTCGCGAGGCCCTTAATATATCAGTACAGCCCAGACAACGAAACTGACAACGCTTCTGAGTTCTATCGGCTTAGAAAGAGTCTACTGGACCATTCTACAGTAAAGACCGGCGGTGATTTATCGTGCAATCGTGAAACGCATGTTTTCTTCCGTCTATATTTTGATCGACTGCAACTGTAGCTACATTGATATGATAAATATTGATTGACCGCAAAATTTATCCAGAATTGATCTCCCGGCAGCTTCTATCCCAGTTAAAGAAGGTAAAAATGAATATATAAAAAGTGAAAAGCATCAAAGCAAACTTGCTCTTACTAATAAATGGGTCATATTCGACTTTTTTGGGGGGGGGAGGGAGGGAGGCCCTTTTCCTGCCAAGCGACTCTTTGTCAGCTCTGTGCCTTCCCTTGCCAGGACTCTCGCTGCGCGCCTGGCAAGGCCCTGTAATAATAAGCATTGGAACGGATGACATAGGCCTTTCGGTGGAGGGGAAGGCGGGGTGAGGGGGGTCATGGCCACCCACTTTCCGAATGCTGAACATTAACCCTGTTGTGAGTGGAGGAACGGACCAACTCCAGAATTGTCATGGGCGCTCCCATTTCCTGAGACGCTCTTTCCCCCCAAGGAAGATTGCAGTCAACGATATAAGTGTCCTTGAGGCATTCAATCGTAACGCTCAATGGCACTGCAGCCTGTAGAACATACCCATGTGAAAGCAATATAAAACCGGCGCCGTTCACGATTTCTGACAGGGCTTGGGCAACCGCGGCAATCAGAGCGTACGATTGAACATCCTCAACTTGCTGCCGACAGGACAAATACTGGCCTCATCTTCAAAAGCAAAATTGCCAGGCGCCAATGGCAATTGAAACATCGCAAGGTACAGGGATGCTGCCACCGACATGTACGAAAAAGGAACCGAACATGGACATGTTACATATGAACGATATGACACGTTATCTTTACATACCGTCTAAAAGACGTGCCGAGACAAGCACGAAACACCTAGCTAGCTGACGCCGATGTACACACCAAGTTGTGAATAACCCGTGGCACGTGTAGGTTGATGAGGTGGATTTCTGTTTCGTTTTTCGTCCTGCCATTTCTGACCCACGGGTTGGTTTCACGGCAGAAAAATTGTTCTCATGGGTGTATTTCCATTAAAATCACAACAGGTTTCAGTACACCAGCAGCAGCCGCCACTGTACTCGCCAGTGGCATCATTGCACTTCGAAGTTCGTAGAACGCCACGCATCCATCGCTGCTTGCAAAATAACTGCCGTGCCAAACAAGCAGTGCAACAACACGACCCTGTTTAAATAGCCAACTCCCCATAAACTAACAGGCGGACGCCTCCAAATCGTCCGCCCACTTAGCACCGCTCACGTTTACCAGAACTGTCAATCACCGGCCCGGTCCCCCTCTTCAGTAACAGCAGCGCGCCGCGCCGCCCGGCTGGGGCGGCCCCTGCGCGGCCGGGGCTACCGGCCGGCGTGAGCACACGAGGTGAGATCGACACTGGTGCCGAGCAGGCGGCTGAGCTCCAGAGACAGTAGCTCGTGTAGCCGCTGCTGGTCGTGACGGTACACCCAGCCGTCATCCACGAAGTCGTACCTGGCGGCGACAAAGCGGCAGCGGCTAGCGACAATCTGGCAACACATCAGTGCTGTAATGACGCGTCCGGCAGTGGTCTGGCAACACGACAGTAAGGTGGACGGACCGGCAGCACAGCAGAACCGGGAATGGGAATGTCACCAACAAAGTCCCAAGTGAAGCATTGTAACGAGCTGATCAAGAGCACAAAACACGCAATGTTTGCTGTCATCCAGCATGCTTTCTTTTTGAAACTATTATGACAGCTGGAGGAGTATACATACAGAACACGTACAAGCAGCACCCGCCTAGCACCTTTTTTAACGGAAACGATACTACGCTTCGTTTTCACGTCTACTCTGCAATAACGCCAACCTCATGGTTCTGAAGCGACCAGCGCAGTGCTGACGAGCCAAGCGGATTCAGGCAAAGGATGCGTTTTCCAACTCGCATCCATACGACCCAGAATAAGGCTACCTTTGTCCAATTTCCTTTATTGTTTTTTTTCAGAATAACGCCGCGGTCTGTAAACGGCCGGCGCGAGGCCCACTCCCACCATACGAATACCGACGATCCAGAGCCACCTCTGTAGCGGCAATCGCACATTCCCAAGCTGACACCGCGACCAGCACACGATCTGTGCTAGTCGTGGCGCCACCCCACCCCACACTATGATACCACACTGCACTGACAAGGGCCCAACAGGACTGACCGCTTGGGGCCGCTGACGGGCGACGAGAGCCAGATCTGCTTGTTCGGAGACTGCTTGTTGATGACGTAAGTGCCCGCCTCGCCCAGCTTCACAGTCAGCACACCACTCTGAGGGCAGGACGGAAGACGACGTGAGGGTGGAGGGGGGGGGGGGGGGACGACGTGACGAATATAGCACGAACAGGCTCAGGGTTGTGGCTTCGGTCCATCAAGATATGGACTTCGTGGAAAATGACATAGTTCCAGTTATCTTTTCTGGCTGTGCTCCCTTTCCTCCTGGCAATTACAATGCTACAATAGACGGCAACTGTGGTGCCGCGACAATAGATGCATCACGTCATCTAAAGAAAGAGCAAATGGCAAGCACATGTTTCTGGTTTTGTTCGGTTCAAGTCTAAATGACAATGGCACAAAAAGAAAAACTGGACATCATAATCCACCCCATTTCAAAGAACCTCATTGTAGGCGTTACACGTTCGGGACGACCGTGTCCGCACTCTGGGGCGGCGGCGACTGACACTGAGCTCAACGTCGACGCCGGGCTGGGCTGAGGCCACCTCCAGCAGCTCCTCCAGATAGGAGCACAGCGACTCCAGGGTCTCCTCACAGACCGCCTCGTATGCCGCTGGCGTCAGGGGCTCCTGGGGCCTGGCACTGGGAGGTCAGGTCAGGTCGGGTTAGGGGACAGCACAGCTGGGTGGCATCCAGAACTCATCAGGACTCATCAGAACTCCTGCAGGACTCATCAGAACTCATTCAAGACTATTGATATCAGCATACAACACAGGCCAGTATGTCAAGCATGTGCCAAGGAACATTGGGCTACACAAGAACAACTGGGTGGCTGCTGACAACCTGCATCAGGCACCAAGGTGTCAGATATGGAAATTTGGAGACAAGTTGTGAAAGATGTGACTATGGTTATTCTGATGTAGGTAGACATGAGGGGACTAGCTGAGAAGTTGGATATATTTTCTGTTGCCTTTGCTTGGGAATGACAGAAAGCTTAAGACTATGAGCTGACAAAAGTTACTGTTTTTGTACGTTTTGTCATATGTTATTCAAGGATGGTGAGTCAACACTTGTAAAGGATTGTTCTAATTCAAGAGGGTTGCAAAAGACTCTGGTCAAAATCTGTTAGTGCTGACACTCCTGTCAACCATCAACTATGCAACCCTAACATCTCATTGGAGTGGATAGGCTGGTAAAGTACTAGGCTTTCCAGGGTCATACAAAACAGATCTTTACCAAATCTTGAACTCTGAGTCATGCTCCTTCCCCTTCTCTTTACTAAATATTGTGATCAAGTCACCATGTTTTGCTGTGCCCAGGTGCCTTATTCATATCATCACTGATCTATGCAAGAGAACACAGTTAAAAATTTAAAAGTTAACTAAAAGGTTGCAACCTTGAACAGTCTGTGCATGCTGTGATTTACTTGAAATTTACTTGTGACCAACTTGAATGACAGAATGAGCTGGGGAATGACTTGGGCAATTTAACCTTGAGCACTGTGTAGCTGAGTAGTACTAGAGAATATACCATGCCTTTAAGCCATAGTGGAAACAATCAGTTGAATTAAACTCCTTGTTTTTTAGAACCATAGCAGTGAAATCCTGCATTTTAAACTCCACCCAGCACAAGACACATATACATCAGAAATTTACACCATGTATTTCACACCTACTAGGTCTAACAGACCACCAGGCAGGCGCAAATGGGTATTCTGAGAGGGGAATCAAGCACTTCTGGTTCAACATGTTCTAACAGTGAGATCATATCTGCCACCAACAGAGAATCCAGGGCCATAGGGAGGCATCATCATCTCACTCCCACTGGATGAGCTTCTGAGGTGATCAGTAATGATCCCTTGCCCAACCAGCAATCTTTGCTACCCTGCCATGGTTCAAGATATGGTAAGCTATGGACAAATACACAACATTACCTGTCACTGTATTTTTGTGCTGCTATAAGAAATCCCCTGCTGTAGTGTTCTGGGTTGGTCCAACAAATGCAGTCTTCTCAAGCTATGCCGTCCATGAGAGATGAGCCGGAAGGTTTGAAATGATCTCAAGCACATGCATCTCAACATGTCTCAGAGTGGAATAGGGCTTCTAGTACTGTATGTGGTAGTTTCTGAAATGATATTGCACACACATTAGTGGGGTGGGGGTAATGGGTGGGGGTGGGGGGGGGGGGGGGGGGGGGCAGAACAAGTAAACACAACTCAAATACCGACTTGAGACAAAAAAACAACAGGAGAGATCAATGAGACATCAGTAATTTTTCACTAAGTTAATATGTATATTCTATAACTGTCCAAAAGATAAGCACTTCGCAAAAAATATTTCATTTATTACCAGTACTTCAAACCCGATACGAATAGCGGCAGGGATTATCCAATAAAAGCTGTATTCAGCATGAAACTAACCAATTCAGCATTCCTCTAAGCCTTCTTTCCAGATCGATCACAAACACAGTTTTTAAATTATTGTCTGCCCTGTAGGTTATACAAACTACCTACCAATATATGCTAACTGAACACATCAGACAATGCCCAGGCGATACACACTGGCAATGTTCACAATGCACAATATGCAGCAATGGCGCTATCGTCAGCCTCGCGCTATGTTGAGAAATATGGCAGTAAGTTTATTACTGCCATATTACTTTACACAAAAATACATCATTGAGGCTGAGGCTGCGCTCGGCCAAGGTGTATCATACTTCAAAATTCAAAAATTACATTAACTGCATCCCACTTCTCTCCTTGAGTTATCTATAGAGATTTTAGCAAAAATTGAAGGTAATACTCTCACATGATGATGCAAGCTGCACGCATTCACGGTGGTAGAACACTATTTTTTAAAACTATCTGGTGATCATTTATACGAACATATGCCGAGTTTCACACCGAAAGTGGTGCGAGTTGATGGTGGTGGGTATTGTACTTCTCTTGGCTGGCTGGGATTATTCGTGTATCAGTATGGGACGTGGTATCTGTGAAAAAGGCCATCAGGAAGTCGAATTTATAGTCGCTGGGATTTGCGGTGGGTCAGTTTGGGACGTATTTTTGTGTTTGTTAAGGTCGAAACGAGATCAACAATTTTTGTGTTCGAGTCGAAACGAGATCGACAACACTCCCGTCTACAGAGTTCACGGTTGTTAACGTTTCTGTGCTACAAATGAACCTGTAATTGCGAAATTTGTGAAAATATCAGATGCCAGTTTGTGTGGTCATCCATACCTATGGAGGCTAAGGCCAATGCTAATATTATCGGCATGTTTGGGGGAGGCTTACCTACCTCTGCCCCCCCCCCCCTTCTATACTCAACACAGTTTCACTTTCAACACCATTAAATGGAGGAGTCTCATGTGGAAATATTGCTGAGCCTATGTGGAAAAATAGGTGTCACACAGGTTTTATTAACCCTCATCATTACAGAAGTTGGAACTGCTGTTGTTGGATTCAGTCATTGGGATTGATTTCCTAAGTGAGTGACCTTTGGGGGGGGGGGGGGTAGGACCAGCTCTGGCCTAAAATTAGGCTTTACCTCTGGGCTAAGAGTCCCATGTTCCTGTATTTTATTTTGTATTCTGTATTTTTTTACCTTTCATACATTCCTCACTGACAGATTACACAGGTACATCTGGTTTATGGTATAGGTAGTGCCATGCTCAGTTGTCCACAAGCTTAAATATCATGGAACTAAGGCCATCTTTGTGATATTGGTGATGATTAACTGTTAGCTGGTCATTAAAAGTGCCAGAAATGCTGTCCTGTATGGTCACTGGCTGCAGTGGTTTTGTAACCACATGTCACCTTTTACCTAATGCCTGCTTATCATTGGCACAGGTTATACTATGATATATCCATGGATGCAAATTTTGGTCTCTGGTTTTAGGGTCCATTCAGTTCTCTCTAGTATCTGTTTGCTTACCACCATCATCAATCCATGTGAGGTTAATCTTGCAAAATAAAATGGCAAGGTCATTGATAAGGGTGAGAAGTGAATAATGTGTATCCAGTCTGTGCCCATCAAAAGTATTGTCTTATCACATAATACATATTTCATGCAAATCTCAAAACATGTTTTGCATTTGCCTCATGATTTCAAACCAACAATTATACCATGCTTTGCAGGACTGATGCATGCTTGGAAAGCATGGAGGTAAACCAAGCCAACAACCATGACCCTGATACAGCAGTGCAGGGCCTGCATTTGCCGGGACGTGAAGTGGAGCACATGGTATGTAACTTTTGCGTTATTGTCAAATATTTTTGATATTGCATATTTTGTGTAAATATAGCATGCATTTGTCGTACTATGGATTTTTATAGAAGTGCTGAGACAAATGCGGGATACCAGGACTGGGTCATAACTGGTCTGCTTGTGTTGTAGAAGTGCTGAGACAAACACGAGGTACCATTACTGTGTCATAACTGGTCTGCTCACATCGTAGAAGTGCTGAGACAAATACAGGGTACCAGGACTGGGTCATAACTGGTCTGCTCATGTTGTAGAAGTGCTGAGACAAATATGGGGTACCAGGACTGGGTCATAACTGGTCTGCTTATGTTGTAGAAGTGCTGAGACAAATATGGGGTACCAGGACTGGGTCATAACTGGTCTGCTCATGTTGTGGAAGTGCTGAGACAAATATGGGGTACCAGGACTGGGTCATAACTGGTCTGCTTATGTTGTAGAAGTGCTGAGACAAATATGGGGCACCAGGACTGGGTCATGACTGGTCTGCTCATGTTGTTTCAGCCAGTGTCTGTGCCGCTGGCCAGCAGCCAGGGCCCACTGGGTGGTCCCATCACTTCCCACCACCTATCGGCGAGCCTGAGCTCGGAGTCGGCGCGGCACGAGGTGGACGCTCTGGCCGAGTGCCGGCCGCACCCGCTGGCGCCACACCCGCCACCGGCCGGCCTGGAGGCGTCAGGCCCAGCCGACCGGCTCCACCACCACCCAGAGCCGCACCGGCGCCCGCCCGACCCGGCGCTGCTCTTCTGCGGCGGCCAGCAGGCGGCCCGTGACCCTGACCTGGTCATTGAGCAGGTGCGTACGCGGCGCGACGGGACCGGCCCCGCGGCGGCCGGCGCTCGTCCGGCGCCGTGGCGCGGCAGGCGAGATGGCGTGCTCTGTTGCCGGGCCAAGGGAGATGTTAGTGCGATGGCTGCGGTCGCTGGGTGATGATTGTCCATTGATAAGTTTGCTTGAATGGGCGCCCTGTCTGCCGTCGGTTGCCTGCGCCGCCGGTGCTTGAGCTGACATGGGCGCCCTCTGCCGGCCGTCAGGTGTCAGTGTCTGTCGGCGGCGGCGGCGCGGCGCGGCCGCTGACGCCGCCCTCCGCCGCGGCCGGGGAGGAGGTGATCGTGGTGGACGTCGACCTGAGCTCGCCGCCGGAGGGGGCGCCGCTGCCGGCCGTCGGCTCGCTCGAGCTGCCTGGCGACGAGCCGGCGGCGGCGTACCGCGGTGCCGGCCGCCGCGCGCTGCCGCCTATGGAGACGCTGCGGCGGACAGACCACCTGACGGTGACGCCCGTCACGCTGGCGGCCTCGCCCGTCACGCTGGCGGCGGGCGAGCGGCGGGTGGCCGAGCCGCACTACGACGTCATCATGTCGCCATATCTGCGCAACCTGCCGCTAGTGCAGCTGAACACGGCCGACCTTGAGGTGCTGCCGCTGCCCGTCTCGCACGGCACGCTCGACGTCAGCGGCTTCGTCAACTCGGACTCATCGGACAGCATCTCGACGCTCGCCGAGAAGCTCGTCTCGCCGCCCAAGCTGGAGCTGCTGGGCGCCGCGCCCGCGTTCTCGAACGGCTCGCCGCCGGCCGGGCCGGCCGCCAAGCTGCCGCCGCCCTATTCGCAGCCCCACCGCATCGTCCCGCGGCCGGGCGGCGGCGGCGGCGGCGGTAGCAGCAGCAACAGCAGCAGCGGCGGCCGCGCCGCGTCAGCCGCCCGCCTTTCGATGCTCTGCCAGCAGCTGACCGAGCGCGTCGTGGCGCACATGTGCCGGCTCTGCAGCCACGTGTCGCTGACGGAGCGCGACGTGACAGCGCACCTGGTGGCGGCGCACGCAGCCGAGCTGGAGCGGCGCCGGCCGGCGGCGCGGCGCGTCCGCTCGCCGCCGGCTGCGCGCGTCGTCAGCGCCACAAGCCAGGCCCAGTGCGTGGTGAACGTGCACGGCAAGGTGCGCGTGCAGCCGCTGCCGGCGCCGGTGGAGCGCACCGCCGCCAGTCCGGAGATCAACGTGGACACAGTGGACGACAACTGTGTGGACGCGCCGGCCGGGTTCGGCACCGCGGCGCCGGCCGATGGCGTCGAGGTGGTGTGGATGCGCGGCTCGGTGATGACTGCCACTGCTGCGTCCCCACCGCCGCCGCCTGCGCCGTCGTTGCCGCCGCCGCCGCCCCCGCCGCCTCCGCCGGCGGTGACGGCGGGGGCGGCCGCGACCGAGTCCACGGCGAGCGAGAGTCGCCGGCTGCTGGGGCGCGTGTCGGCACTGAAGCCGGCGCAGCAGCGCCAGCTGGCGGCACTCAAGAAAAAGGGCCGGCCGCGCGACTCGCGCTCGCTCGGCGTCAGCGGATTGGGCCGCGGCGCGCGTCGGCCGCAGCGGCTGGCGGAGCGCGCGCTGGGCCTGTTCGCCTGCGAGGTGGCTGACTGCGGCCTGCGGCTGCGCGACCGCGCCAAGCTGGAGCTGCATCAGCGCTGCCACCTGCCGGAGCGGCCGAGCGACTTCGCGTGCCCCGAGTGCGGCCAGCTGGCGGCTCAGTGGCGCACGCTCTCCATGCACCTGTGGCGCGCGCACCGGATCGACTGCGACCTCTACCACTGCGACCTGTGCGACTACAAGACGACGCGCTACTCGCAGCTGGTGAGCCAGCACCTGCCGACGCACAGCCAGCTGCGCGAGCACGTCTGCGAGACGTGCCAGAAGGCCTTCAAAAGCAGCAAGCAGCTGCAGAACCACCGCGCCAAGCACAAGCGGCGCGACGACCCGTCGTTCGTCGAGTCGTGCCGCTGTCCGCTGTGCGGTCTGGTGCTCTCCGACCGGCGCGCCCTGCAGCTGCACCGCGAGATGGTGCACGAGAAGCGCCGTGGCTTCCAGTGCAACACGTGCGGCCGCCTCTTCAGCTGTCGCTCCTCGCTGGTCATGCACGCGCGCCAGCACACGGGCCAGAAGCCGTTCGCCTGCGAGCAGTGCGACTACGCGACGACTGACCACAACACGCTGCGCCGCCACCGGATGCGGCACACGGGAGAGCGGCCCTACAAGTGCCCGCACTGCAGCTACTCCTGCATCCAGTCGACCACGTACAAGAAGCACTTGCGCACCAAGCACCCGAACGCGGCGGCCGACCTCGTCTTCTCCTGCCAGCACTGCATCTTCAAGACGATCCAGCGCTCTGCATACACGCGCCACATGCAGGAGCACGACGACCGGCCGGCGCCGGCGCCGGCGCCGGCCTCGGCTCCGTCCCCGCCGGCCGAGCCGCAGCAGCACGTGGTGCGCGTGCACGAGTCGCTGCTGCCGGGGGAGGCGGTGCTGTCCGCGGAGGGCGCCGCCGGCCGGGACTCGGCGCCCGATGTCAGCTCGGGCTCGTCGCGGCTGTCGGCCGCCGTCTATCAGCTGGTGCCGGCCGAGCCAGCGCGGCCGCCTCACCAGCTGCAGGTGACCAGCTGGCGCCATTGCACGTGTGCGCACACCCCAGAGCCCCTGGGTGCATTGGCAATGACCGCACATGGCTGCGTGACCCCGCATTTTGCCCGACAGCTGCCGTCTTGCCTCAGTATCACTCCCAGAGCCGCTGTCTGACCTCAGTGCTGCTCCCAGAGCTGCCATCTGACCCCAGTGCTGCCCCCAGAGCTGCTGTCTGACTCTAGTGCTGCTTCCAGAGCTGCTGTCTGACTCTAGTGCTGCCCCAGAGCTGCTGTGTAGCCGCAGTGAACTACTGTGTAGTCCCAGTTAACTGATGTGTAGCCTCAGTGGGCTGCCATGTGGCCTCAGTGAACTAATGTGGGGCTCCAGTGATCCACTGTGTAGCCCCAGTGGGCTGCTGTGTAGCCTCAGTGAACTACTGTGTAGCCCCAGTGGGCTGCTGTGTGGCCCCAGTGAGTTGTTGTGTGGCCTCAGTGGACCACTGTGTAGCCCCAGTGAGCTGCTGTGTGGCCTCGAGTGAACTACGGTATAGCCCCAGTGAGCTGCTCTGTGGCCTCAGTGAACTACCATCTAGCCCCAGTGAGCTGCTGTGTGACCTCAGCGGGCTGCTGCGTAGCCTGTGTGGCCTCAGTGAGCCTGTGTGCGACCCCAGCCTGTGGCGCCGGCGTTCCTGTCAGAGCTGCAGCGTGCAACAGCTGCATCTGACGGGTGATGTCGCCGTTGCAGCCGGTCGGTTCGCCGCCAGCCCTGGGGAAGACCAAGACTGGCCGGGCGCGCGGCCCGGGACCCGGCTCGTCCGCGGCGGCGAAGGTGGCGCACTAGAACGAGCGTCCGCCGGCGGGCGCTCGCTGGCGCCACTCCTCGCGGCTAGCGAGGCGGCTCACGAGGCACCGGTAGGGCAGATCTTCGGCCGCAAGGTGACTCACTAAGCTCACTTACGTCCTCCTTCAGTAAGTTGGCGCACAGGGGCTGGTCCATCTGCATTTCACTGTTTCATGGTCACATCGGGCAGCTGATGACATGCCCTCTGAACTCTTGGTTTTTTTTAGCGGCAGGTTTTTTGGTGGTCAGAACCGTTCCGCATTATGAAGACGCTGTCGGCAGTTTTCGTCTCACATGTATTTGCACTGGCCGAACAACCGCTGGGTAATGGGCATGCAGCATGACATGATATAACATGGAACAACCCGTACGTCAGCCCGCAGCTGTGACCGTGAACGATGGAGTGTGCGAGCGGCCACGACATGTGGCGTGAGCGCCGGCAGTCAAGCGCATCCAAGCATCAAACAACAATTACTCGCAACGGCATCGCCTTTGTGGCTCAACAAGAAATAACGCGCTAGTCGTGTGCACGGACCTCGCTCGACGGCCCCCTGTTTTTTGTTTTTTTTTTTTTTTTGCGAGCAGCGGCTCATGCTTGTGACCGTTTGCGAGGATGTGGACGGCGTTTGGCCTGTGTTTTACTTGATGGGGACGCGCGAGCCACGCGTCTCGCACCGTTTGCGGGGTTATGGATAGGCTGTGGTGTGTGCAGGGGGCGCTGGCGACCCGGCAGAAATGACGGGCGGTGCGTCCGCCGCCGCACGACTAGGGGATTGGCTCAGCTTGTTGAGAGGTGCGGCTGTGATTGTACTCGGCGAGTGGGGCGTGACCCGCGTGACGTCACGACCGCGCCAGCAGCGGGCGCGCAATACACGGTACACTGGAAAGGGGGCACGGCGACGTCACACTGCGGTCGATCCTCGATCGATCCGCTCGTCCTCACTGCGAGGATTGCGTGCAGACCGCCCTCGGAGGCTCGGCCGGCGCACGAGGAGGCGGGCGCCCGGACCGCGGACTGCTGCGCCTGCATGTCAGGAGAACAACGGCTGTTAGTGAGCGGTTCAGTGCCACACTGGATGGCAGCCGACGGTGCGATATCGATGCCTCTACAGACGTCAGTGCGTCAGGATAACAGCAGATGGCTGCAGCAGTACACTGCGACCTGAACTTCCTGTGTCTCGACGGCAGCCTGCTCTCGGCCCCTGTGGATTTCGAGTCCCCTGACGTTCCTTTCGAATAAGCGTGTCTGACTAGTGCTCTCGCATGAAGCCAAAGGTCCGAGCGATACGCTATCGTATGGCGGCATTTAACGATGGTGTCGGTGACTGGGGAGAGCCTGACGTACTGTGCGATGGCGGGCGACTGTCGGCTCAGTAGCTGGTGTAGGAGGACTGGTGGGTCTCTTGATGTCCGCCACTGCCGTAGCCGTCCTGCCCGCTGTAGCCCTCCGACTCGCCGTAGCTCTCCGGCTCGTCGTAGCTCTCCTGCTGGCCGTAGCTCTCCTGCTCGCCGAAGCTCTCTGGCTGGCTGTATCCCTTCGGTTGGCCGTAGCTCTCCGGCGCGCCGTAGCTCTCCGGCTGGCTATATCCCCCATGCCCGCCGTGGCCCTTAGTATGCCCGCCGTGGCCCTTGTGCCCGCCGTGGCCCTTGTGCCCGCCGTAGCCCTTCTGCTTGAACACAGGCACCTCGTAGTGCACGGGCACGGGTATACGGATGGGCTTTGGCACCGGGTACGGCTTCGGCACGGGGTACGGCTTTGCCACCTTGATCGGCACCACCACGGGCTTTGGCTTCGGGATCGGCAGTACCACCGTCTTGGTGAAGAACTTGAGCTTGGGAAGCCAGATCGGCAGGTATCGGATCTTAGGCACAATTGAGTACGAGGGCTTGTAGCTATGACCCTTGGCATGGTGGCCGCCGTAGCCGCCGCCGTGGTGGCCGCCGTAGCCGCCGCCGTGGTGGCTGCCGTAGCCGCCGCCGGTATCGGCGAGGGCAGCCGCCACCATCACTAGAAGCACGAACACCTGTCACAAAGTACAAACAACGGTCAGCGTAGCGGAAAACGCGCAGCAAACGTCACCGAAACGGACTGGCACTTGCAGGAACGCATCAGAGACCGAACACCTGCAATGGGCAGCCCACTGGATGCTCGTAAAGCATTGTGGTACATTTGCCCACGCTGCCAGGTGAAGGTGGACCGCTGAATGATGAGAGACCTGCAGCAATGGCCCCACGGTTCGGGTTCACGTCTGGCAGCCCGTGTTCATACTCATCCATGAATGGCCTTGTCTTTGACGAAGCGCGCTTGCCTGCGGAGAGTTGGACGCATAAGCTTTTCTAACGTGTCTGCTGATCTGATCCAGAAGCTTACAACGGAGTGAAACGCTACTGACTTGAGCGAGGCCTGGCACCGGAACGTAGCGTGGGTCGCTGCATCCGTATAGCGGCATGCAACTGGACTGATTCGCCACCATGGTCCAGCCTGGCCTCGGGCCCAACGCTTTCTCTTTCATATGATGGCGTCGTCGGCGTGCCATGATGATCACAAAGCTCAACAGCCAGCACGCAGCGGATGCTGAGAACTAGTGAGGACAGCGACTCAAAGGGATGGTGTGTTGCGGAGCAGCTGGAAGATGTGACGCAGAGCATGTAGCGCTAACGTTCACCAGAAACCTGTCACAAATTAATATAATTCCAGTCGGAAATTGTATTTGGATATTTTGCACGCTGCTGTCTACACCAGCGCGCAAGCTGCGCCAAGCCGGGTAGTTCTGGTCTTCAGTGAACCACTAGCTTGAGGCCTGTGCTGAAAGTGTGCGTAGGAATATTCATACTTCCAGGACCTTACTGCTGGTGCTGAAAACGAAACCTCCCGGGTCAATTTTTCAACCCTCACGCGGCAGTGGGGAGAGGGGCACTTTGACTTTGCCTGTACCCACGGTTTTTTTCCAATGCACTGGGAAAAATAATTTGGTTCCTCTGGCACTGCACATGCACAGTACTTACAGCGAAGCTGTAATAATTAACAAGTAAATTATTATTTCAGGGCATCCTGTTTCGCAATGTTGGGATACAGCGCAGTGTTTTCATAGCAGTGCCCAGCGGCATAGTTTCACAAGATGAGTTGGCGGAATGGACAGTGAAAAATGGCCCAACCTACCACCAAAATGTGCCAAAAAGCACGTTTCACCAGATTTGGCTCACGTTTTTCCCGAAACCACGGGGTTGAAGTTTTCTTCACAAAGTTGAGGAGCCTGAAGTTCCTGCGCCAACTGAGAAGGAAACCGCACATCCGGTCGTGCTGTATATCTTTCTATGAAACAAATACGGACCAATAGCATTTCTTGTCTGTCCAAGATACCCACAAAATGATGACAAAAGCAGCGCTCGTGGAGGTGTGAGGTTAACGAAAACATTGCGGTGTGTTTCGAAATAGTGTGTCGAGTACATGTTAGTATGTGTGTTTAAATTAATGGCTTGCATGGTTTCCCGATGCCAGCTCGCACTGACGTCTGTCAATGGGACAGCAAGTAAGTTTCTCCTTGGGCCATAATGCAGCTCCTTCACTTGGATAGAGGCCGTGTTGCAGCGCGGCCGGCCAGCCCCACTGGCCGGTGTGCGCGCCGGCTAAGGGCTGGCACGTCCCGGCCCCGACCGGGCCGGTCCCCCCCCCCATGGACTGCATTGCGATCTTTGGGAAATCGACGCGCGTTTTGTCCGAATTTCGGCACTTTCTGAGAAGAGTTCGTACGGGTTGTTTTTTTCACTTGTTAAATTCAATGATATCGAGCTGAAAAATCAATTATCAAAACCAAACAACATGACGTAACAGGGAACCCAGAGCACTGGATACGGTCAGTGTGCAAAGGAGGCAGATACAATGGTGGATTTTTGGGACGGTCAGTGGATGTGGAAAAGTTTATTTGGGGAAAACCAAAGCCTGTTGCGTTTACCAAAACGAGGTCCGCTGGCCATAAGATGAGGACCACCGGCGGCCGTGTGACTGTACCGGGGGGGGGGGGGGGGGAGGGGGGATGCTGCTTGGTCAGGGTTCTTGCGACGGCCCTGCTCAGCGAGGTTACTGATCTCAGCACGGCTTAAGGAAGTGGCCATGCGGCGAGGCATCTACAAATAAATCACAGACCAATTGGGTAGAAGCTCTTCGCTGTGGAATTTATGGGTTTGAGATGCCTTTTTATCAAAGACGTTCTCAGACGGATGGCCGTAACTCAACGTAATCGCTGCACGAACGGAGACGCGGCCCAGAAAGTGTGTGTGTGGGGGGGGGGAGGGTAAGGACAGAGCCCGTTTGAGTGAATGGTCTGCGTGCATCACCATAGAGTCGATGCTAAACTTTTTTTGGGAAGGGGCGGACGTAACATCCTTCCCTTCCCCAATCCTACCCTTTCTTTCCCACCCACCGTTCCTGTTTCTACGCCTATGGTTCAATGGACCCTTGCATGGCGTAATCAGTGTGAGAAGACAGGATCCCGGGACGTTTATCAGCTTCGATTATAAAGGAAGTTCAAAAGAGACTAAACAGGGAATGAGGGAAGTTCAAGAAGCTGCTTACTCTCCCGAACTTGCCGGCGCGTTGACACTTAGAAGTAATGATTTGGTCTCGGACAGACATAACACTACACTCGGATGCTGCACGACCTTAATATACACCGGCAAATCACGAGGTGCGAATGTCACGGAGCTTGGTACGGGTACACCTGCGCGCGCCGGAGCGGTACACCACAGCAGAGGTCAGGGGAGGTCACGCGCTGCTGGGACCGCACGCGCGCGGTCGGGTGAACCGACAACGCACCTTCATCTTGCAGAGGGAGGCACTGACGACGGGCGAAGCTCGGTCGGCCGATATATAGCCAGCATTACCATACTGGCGGGGTGCTGCACTTTCACTGCCGTGCAGGTGGGGCACAGGTCGCGGTGAGGGGGCCGGACCAGAATCTCTGCAGGGACATCCGGAACCATGGGCTCGGATACCTGCCTAGGTCGCGAATTAGGGGCACGGTTACGTTCCCCGCACAGAAGGCGCGCGCCAGCTTCTGTGGTACCCATCGAGACGACACGCCTGCCGTCGGAGTGCTTGCGCGGACATCCGGCACCGGGGGCCGGGACACTGCCGACGCAGCCGGTAGCACAGCGCGAGCACACTGCACCAGCGCCTGGACACCTGCCCTGACATCCGGCACGCACCTGGCCGGACATCCGGCGCGCATCTGGCCGAACATCCGGCATCAGACCGGGTGTCTGTCGAGGCGGCCAGCACCAGGAGCTAGACACCTGCGGAGACAATCAGCGCCAGGGCCGGCTTATCGGCCGCCCAGACACCAGGCGCTGTGGCGGAGCGGCGCTTCACACACCCTATGCCAGGGCTGGGCACGTGGTCTAGACATTCAGCGACAGAGGGTCAGAACGCCAGCGCAGACATCCGCCACCACGACCGGAACACCTGTCCGGACATCAGCACCACTACTGGAGCACCTTTCGGGGAAATCAGGAAACGGAATACCTAGCCAGAGGTCAGCGTCAGGGGCAGGAACACCGGTCCAAACATCTGTCTGCACGCACCGCAGTTCACGCCATCCCAAAAGGGATTGGTACACCGGCTCACTTTGCAAGCGGTGGTGGTGTGCAATGGCTGGCTCAGCGCCTCGACACGATGGCTACCGCATATAACGATCAGTACCGGAGGCAAGCTCGCTCCGATCCTTTCTCCCGGCGGCTGAGACGCGCCGCAGCCGTCGCCGTCGCGCAGCAAGTGTCAAGCGCGCGCTCCTTACGAATATACTAGCTGCGGTCAGCGGTGCTGTTGCGTGCTTGTGCGTTAGCTCTTGCTGTTCAACTGTGCAGTGCGCGCAACTTATGATTTGGTGTCAGAATTAATTTGGTTCGCGCAATTTAGCGTTTGCTGATCCCCGGCGCTGGGCAATTCTTGGGCAATCTTCCAGACACGTGCAATATCGGGACGTGCAATCACAGGCAACATTTGCTCGTGGGCGTTGAAACTTTAAAAAATATTATGTTTGCGATGTTTAACGGAATAGGAAGCGAAAGGCATGCGCCGACATTGCCGAAAAGCAATCAAGATGACGTTTTGCTAAAGGCGTGCTTTTTTGTGCTGGAGCTCGAGAGACACGTGACATGTCTTCATTTATGTATTCATACATGTTCAACAGCAAACAAACAAAAATGCAGATTCAACAATAAATAAACAAACATGCATATGTCCGAATCTAGGTGTTGGGAACAACTGAAAAGCTTGTGAACATCGCTACCGGACTTCAACTTTGCCTCTCCGAGGGGTACAAACCACGCCCGCGGCAGTCGTCCCACTGCCCCCGGACGTCGTCTTCTGAAGACGCCTCCATCACCATGGCGTCCCCGTGCAGTAGCAGAGCGACAGTGCCCCGATCCCCTCCAGTCGGTGCCCCACCGCTGGACCCTGGTGACGGCACCATACCGGGACATACCGGGACCAGCCCACGTGCTCAAACACCGGCTCGGAGATAACAAGACTGGACCGGTGGCGGCGGGGCTACCGAGTCATGGCGCCTTACCCTTTCCGGGCGGCCGGACGTGTGCCGGGCCGACAGGCCAGAGCTCCGCCGGAGAAAGCTGGGAGCCGGGCGCCGAGCACCCCCTCTGCAGTCAGTCCTGGCCGCTGGTCGGCGGTGTCCGCTCCGGCGCAGGGCCGGCGGGGCGCATTATGCATGCGGTGACACGGCGCGTAGTCGCGGCCCGAGCCGGGCCGCGGGTCACAGTTTCGCTGCAGTGCATCGACGGACGGCCGGTCTCACTGCTGAAGCTTTCACAATCTGGTAATTTAGAGCGCTTTGGGAAATGGTCGTCGAGTGGGCTTTTGAGACGTTGGCCGTTATTCGTGGACATCACCTCATAAGCATCGCTTAAGCCCTCATAAAGCAGACCCTGCATGCACGTACTGCGTACGTCCTACAGACACGTACCGTGTACGTCCTACAGGTCACGGGTGTCGATCAGCATTCTTTTGTAAGGGCCCTGGCCTCCCCATGTTGAGTCGCCCCCCCCCCCCCCCTGTTGGCTTGAGCCCCCCCCCCCCCCAATGTTTTTGACTGGAATGCCAGAAAAAACATAGGTAGAAGATGACCACAGCAAAAAGACTTCCTTCTTTGACCTTTCCGTGAAGTGGGGTCATGTACTGCTCTCATAACAAAAGTCATGGCTGCTCTCACCACCAGATACAAATCATGACAGCTGAGTGGATAAACAATGCAATAAACTTCACATACCTGGGGTTATAAGACACGCATCGGTTTATAAGGTTAAAGTGAAAAGCTCTTAAATATGGGATGGCCCGAGTCCCTCATGGGACTTGGGCCATGAGAGTGCTTTTCTCCCGTCAGGTGAGAACAACATGGGGGAGGGGGGGGGGGGGGGTAGGTTGTCGGACCTTCGCCTCGGCCCTCCCAATAATTTACAGAAATTGACACCCCTGCTACAGGTAGTGTCAACCACCAAGCAAACTCACCGAAACCAGCCGTAACGACCCGTTGGTATGCCGGTCAGTGGTTACGTCGACCCGTGAGTTCACATGATTTATGAAAATAACTCTTCGTGAGCTGAAAAATGCAGCAAAACGCCTTTCCTTCGTAGGCTCAAATCTGCACAACCCCTGAACGTTTAAAGCCGACATAATCTGTCACCTACTGGTCTGAGGGTCTTCATCTTGCCGAAGGGCGTTGTGTGGTGATCTGCCTTGCTAGCTGGCCGGCATGAATTTGCGTGAATAATTTAAGGGGTTTACTATGTAAAATAGAAACCTTAAAGCTGACCACTGGGTCTCATGACATCTGGATGCAGCAGCTGTGGCTTGGGATGTTATGGTGTGCTACCATCCCCCCCCCCCCTCCCAGCTGCATTGCAACGTGTGGCAGGGCGGGCCATTTTACAAACTTGTTCGTACATGTGGCGACGGCCTGCACTAAACAAAAAGCGTAGCGTCGGAATGTTTGTGCAGTTTCCTTTCCCGACAAACGAAACATATTCAACCGACCAGATGTTGGAGGATGCTCCAATTCAATGGGGCGGCAAGACTTCAGCCGGCCAGTGCGGTCGGATGATTCAGTGGGAAGGATACGCTTGCACCAACGTGTCTGCGTTAACCGCTGCGTGTCTGGGAAGCCGGGGTACGGGTTCGATTCCCCGCAGCGCCCGCCCTTTTTCCCAGGGTGAGAGGCAGGCGACGTCATGTTGTCTCGGCAGCTGAGTATGCCGTTAAGTTCCAATGATGACGACGCACACTGCGATGCCACAACGCCCCAATGACCACGGCAGACCATCTTCCGGGAGATGCCGGTTGTACGAGCGATCACAAATGTTTGCCTGCATGCGTTGTAATCTGACGCCTCAGCAGCCCTGACAAAGGCTGGGCAATGAGTGACCCAACGACCCGTAGTGCGGTAAGACAAGCCTAGTCGTGCGGTGCGGGTGGCCCGGATACGGACGGCACACACTCGATCGCGGGGCTGTAGCCTCGTGCACCCTCTCGGCACACACTTGATCGCGGGACTGTAGCCTCGGGCACCCTCTCGGCACACACTCGATCGCGGGGCTGTAGCCTCGTGCACCCTCTCTGCACACACTCGATCGCGGGGCTGTAGCCTCGAGCACCCTCTCGGCACACACTTGATCGCGGGACTGTAGCCTCGGGCGCCCTCTCTGCACACACTCGATCGCGGAGCTGTAGCCTCGGGCGCCCTCTCGGCACACACTTGATCGCGGAGCTTCAGCCTCGGGCACACTCTCGGCACACACTTGATCGCGGAGCTGTAGCCTTGGGCGCCCTCCCGCCTGCGACGCTGCTGGCAGTCCCGAGCAGCGCACGTATGTGGGGAGGGGGGGCATACGATAATTCAGCTGGTCAATGGCCGCTACTAAAGGATGGACGACCGCTCTGGTCGACGTGGATGTAACTGCTCCATTTTTCAAGCCTGCTGAACAGTTGTGCTAGTTTTTGTGCTAGTTGTGCTAGCTTTACGGCCCCCCACAGCCATTTCATGCTTGTCCGTCCTGACAGTCCGGCTGGAGCGCGTGCCCTGCGGCTGTTCACAAGGCCCTGGCAGCGTGAGCTCTAGTCGCTTCAGGCGCCCGCTCCTCCCTTGAGTAGAATGCCCTGCGGCCGGTGGCAGCGACCGCGTTAGGTAAAGGCCAGGTGATGCCCGGAGACAAGCCGTGCCGGGCATCGCGGCGCGCCATAAGCTTCGTTGCAAAATTCTGTCGTTGACCCGGAATTTCACGATTGAATGGCGGGGTCAAGGGTTCACTCAACAAATGCTGCTTGGCGTGGGCACTGCTTTCTGAACTCACTCCAGCGCAAAAGTTCAGATAGTATTTCTTCAAAGCTAAACTGAATCATGCGTAATAAATTACGCAATGCAACGTTCTCAGCAATTCGCATTGCAGCTTAAATTAATAATATTTCATAAAAGCAAAAAACAATTCCTTTCCGTGTTCGAAAGCAACTGTCCTTCCACTTCATCCGGCCGGTCCACCAATAAGAGCACCGCACCGAGAGATGTGTGCTGACTGTCGCCCGCTGCACGCGCCCGGTCAGTGACCGCCCTCGCCACGCCAGGCGCGAGCGCAGCGCCGTCATCCCTCCCGGGGCGACCCCCCCCCCCCCCTGGGAGGAGCGGCCGCGCTGAGGACCAAAGTGTCCGCGTCCTCGTCAACGGCCTGTCCCGCAGGCGCCCGGCTCCGGCGGAAAGGGTCGCGTCACGCCGCTGCGCCGCCCCGTCAGCAGCGCGCGGTGTCCATCCATCACGCGCTGCACGCGCTG